CGTAACCTTGGGCGAATCACACATCCATCAGGTTCTGGGTTTCTGCATTTTACAGATGGGAATAATAGCTGTCATGGCACAGGACTGCTGTGAGAAGGAAAACACATGGTCCAATTTGCCTCTCAGAGCGTGTGTTCTTTAACTCTTTCCTTCCCTCCTGACCTCGCTCAGTAGGATTTAAAAAAAAAAGTCATTCTCCAAAGCAAGACTCATCCATATGGATGCAAGTGGCAGGATTTCCTTCTTTCTCTTGGCTGAATTATACTCCATTCTATTCCATCACTTCATTACCCATTCATTCATTGGTGGACACTTCCTTTGGCTATATACCCAGAAGTGAGATTGCTGGATCTCATGGTAGTTCTATTTTTAATTTTTAACACTCCTGTATTGTATACTTGAAAGTTACTGAGAGACAAAGTCTTAAATTTTCTCACCACAAAAACGAAATGGTGATTATGTGATGTGATGGAAGTGTTAGCTAACGCTATGGAAGTGATCATACACTGTAAGTGTATCAAGTCACACCCTAAAACTGCACAATGTCGTACGTATGTCAACTATAGCTCAATAAAAAGAAGAAAGTGAGATTTTGGTCTCAGTCTGTCTGGATGAAACGTAGCTACAAATAAGGATATCAGCTTGGAACGGTAGTTGTTTTTCAGCCTGGTTTTAACAGGAAGCAGAGTTTTGACAAGAACTGCTAATTAAGTCTGTGAGGAGGGTGCCGTGCTGATTAATCCAGCTGTACCTGCTGGTGGAAGATCCGCCGAATTAATGAAGAACTGTCACGTTCTTCCAGCACTGTGGGCCGCAGTTACCGGCTCAGCAATTTTGGGCTTGTTTCAGGGAATCTGCTGTAATAGCCACAGTGGCACTTCTCGCGGGCCTCTTGGTAGGAAAAACATTCTTGACCAGTCCTTGTCCAATTACTTGCTGTGCTCCTCTGTGCCAGCGTTGTGCAGGGGCCCTGGGTGACTAGAAGTGCCCTCCCCGCCCCCACCACCACTTGAAGAACTAAACAATCCCACTGGGGACACAAAATAAATACCAAAGAATAAAGTCCTGAACAGGACAAAAGTAATTAATTAATGACTTCATTGAGCGGTAAAGACAGCATTCCAGGGAATTCACAGGAGGCCGGTCAACTAAGGCTGCAAGCAGCAGCTACAGCTTTGATGTCAGACAAATGGGAGTTGAAAGCAACCCCCCTTCCTCCTCCACAGGAGGCACAGCTTTCCTGCCCATGTGGCTTACCCATGTGACCTGCTTTAGCCGATGGGACATTAGCAGAGGTGATGTGAATGAAGGTTGCAAATATGCTTGTGCAGTTGGGTTTTTGAGCCTTTTGTCAAGAGATTGTTGGGAAAAATAAACTTCCTCTACCCTCTTGTGTTCAGTAAATGGGGGCCTGTGAATTAAACTAACAGGATCCAGAGTAACAGGAGAAAGGCATACCATCTATACTATTAATAGAGGAATATGCAAGTTGTCCTGGACACTGCCACAGTAATAGTAACGACCGAACAGCAGGCTGCATGGGTGACCAGGCTGGCAGGGGGGTTAGTGAGGGATGATCAAATGACTGAACAGCGGGCTGTGTGGGGCGACCAGGTCGGCGGGGGGGGCAGGGCAGTTGGGGGTGACCAGGTTGGTGGGAGGGCAGTTGGGGGCGACCAGGCAGGCAGGGGGTAGTTGGGGGTGACCAGGC